GGATGGATAGGGGTGGGGGGGGGAGGTGTTGGAGGAATCTGCATGCTGTCTGGCCCAGCCAGGTCCTGGCTGTGGCAGAGTGGAGTGGTGTGCAATGCTCCCTCTTCAGGCTTCCAGCAGCAGCTAGCAGCCTGGATAGGATATCTGGCATCTCCCTGGCTCCCTCTTCCCTTTCCTTCCCTCTCCTCCCAGGCCTCAACAGCTCACCAAAACTTCATACATGGCCTTCCAGCCCAAATAATTGCCTGCCTCAGCTTTAAATGATGTGAAAGAGAGAGGCTGTCAAACAATCCTTGTAATAAAAGGAGTGATGGGGGAACAGACTTATTTTGATCTTTCGTAACCTGTTAGCATTAGAAGAACTTTGAAGTGGTACTGATCCTTTCAGGATTATCAGATTCTGTAGGAGTTAGTCCCAGTCCAAAAAAAAAAAAGATGAAAGTTGATTCTTTTTTCTTTGACTTCCCCTTTAATTTCTTTCTTCCTTTGTTGTTGAAAATATTTCAAGGTAGTTTGTGAAAATTAAGTGATGTTGTTTTAATATTTAATGATAGAACAAGAACAGCCAGTTTGATGTCATTTACAATTTAACAACTGCAGTTCTGTTCTTTCAATAGTCAAGGAACCAAGGGAAAACAAAGTTTGCATTGGTGCCCCTATTATTCAGCCTGCCTTAAATTTGTTTCCATTGAGTTTGAATGACTGCTTCTATAATTCCCGGTGTTGTTCTAGTTCCATTTTGTTATTAAAGAGGAGGTAAAAAAAATCGAAAACTACTCTTCTCTTCAGTAACATCTTTATGTAAATGGATTTATTTAATGCTGGAAGTCCAGAATCCTCTTTTAGCACTAGCACAAAAATGATGATAAGTGTAGAATCTGCCTTTTCTGTGGGAACTAGCATTTACACAATTGGAAACATGATTTTTCTATACAGCTGAACCAAAACTGATAGCAAAAAATATGGGAAACGTGAGAGCCCTCTGGTGGTAAGGTGTAGAATTTGAGCATTTGAAGATTTTTTTCCTCTTTTTTTTCTTCTTTGCTTAAAAAAATAATGAAACCAGTTGCAGTTTGAGACTCATTGCCACAAATCTCTCTCATTTCTAATACCATAAATCAGTTGTATTTGACCAGAAACTGTTTTACAACAATGACATTTATTTTTACAATGTTGATTCAGTTTGGATCCCTGGAACAGAATGACAGATTTTAGCCCCAGCATTGCAGAGTCTTAGGGTGTCTGTAGATGTGCGGGGACACTGCTTCAATGTGCTGTAATTATAGTGCGTCGGAGCAGGCTCGATTTAATCGAGTCTGCTAGAGTGTACTAGTTGGTTTCACCCATGAACCACAGTTTGGTAACTGCTGGTATGGTGCTTCAAAAATTAAAATGTAGTATCTGTATTATCCATCCAACTATATTTTTAATAGACTGGCTATCATGTATTTTCCTATAATTTCTACAGCTGTTCAATATTTCTTGGCTTTTCATATTCCTTTTCTTATGTATGATTACTTTTTCATTCATTTATATTGATGTCTGTAGAGGCAGCCGGAGATTGTAAGTAGTTTGGGAGCATGTGCCAGTACTAGCTATTTTCCTGTGGTCGATTTTCATTATAGTGCCAGTAGCTAACAAAACTGACAATAGTTCCAATGGAAGTCAAACCCTTTGAACATAAACACAGATCATTATATTTTTATAAAATGTTGTTCTTTGTTGACTGGCTTATGGGTCGGGGGGGAGGTTTCAGCAGCTTAAATTTGAATGGGCCAACTTGTTACATGTAAAAACAAACAAACAAAAAAAGATTTTTCAGACAGTGGGCATTCTACATTTTCTGAAAATCATACCTTTTGAGGTAACTTAAGTTCTGATTGCCAGTGTGCATGAAGATGTTATGTTAATACGATAAATCTTTTAATTTTCAAAGTACTTTGTAAAAATTAATGGCTATATTTTCAGAGGTATCAACTGAGTTAAAATGAATGGTGCCTTGCACCTCTGTATTATTGGATTATTTGCTGATGTCTACTAAAAACATATTTGTCTCCTAGATAGTATGAGGGAGTGAATAGTTTTAATGTAGACCTTTGATGAAGCAAAGCCATCCAAAGCAATGACTTGTCAAGAGTTTACTGTAAGTGTTTTTTTAACAATATATAACATTCAGTTAAATATTTCTTGTGTTTGTGCAACCACTGTAAATTATCATTTTAGTAATTATCACAATTTTATTCAAAAGGTCTTATACACTCATCAGAAGACCAAGAAATCAAAAGTATGGCAAGATGGGGTTTTGAAGACCAGCACTGGGGGAAATAAGGTGAAGAGTTCAAGTTTAATACAGTATGATCTGTTCTCTGAGTCTACCAAATTCACTGTGCTCTTTGAAATGCAGTGATTTGATTGTTTAACATTTCATTATGTTTCAATGCAGGCAACCTTATTTGATGACAAAGGACAATGTTTGGAGAGCATATTTATCAGAACTCAGGTATATTTTTAACTAAAAACTAGTCTGTGTTGGGACTACTTTTCATCTTTGCACAGTCTAAAGTTCCTTGTTGTGCTATTTTGTCTAATATATTCTGATTTGATCAGTTGTTACAAATACAGGATTTTAAATGGTCAGATATAGCATATTTTGATCTAACAAAGTCTAAAGCATTATAGTAGTAGATTTTCACTACAGTGGATAATGTCTAATAAATGTACTTTTTGTGGATAGCAAGTATCATTGTACTGTATAGTGCTGGAGTGGCCAACCTGCAAAACTGGCACAGGCAGCCTCTTTGTGTGGCTTGCAGGAGATTGGGCAGGAGACAGAAAGTGGCAGATAAGGCAGGAAGCAGAAAGAAAAGCAAACGAGGCAGGGAGTACAAGGCAGGAAGCATAACAGCAAATAAGGGAGGGAAGAGGGATTGGAAAGGCACTTGGAGAGGGTGCAGGGCTATTTTGTGGCATGCTTTCCAAAAAGGTTGCCCCCCACACTGATACAGCAAGTACATTTTTTTTTATTGCATGTGATTGTGCAATTGCATAAGCTTGGGACATTCAATAAATGTATACTGATTACTTTCCATAACTCTTTTAAATAAAGTCAATCTAGATGCACCCATTGATTCTTGGGAGCAATATCAGCTGTAAGGTAGGCAAGTGGTGCTTTTTAGACTCAAGGTACTTCATGGAAATGCTAGCTCTTTGCTTTCACTCATTTTTTAACTACGGAAAAATAGTAGAGTAGTACTTCTGTTCCAAAGAAGTCAGGGAGACCAGAACAGGACAGGATGTTTTTGACGCTGTGGATTCCTGTTTGAAATCTCTGGGTTTACCGTCTGAATCGTGTAGGTTTTTGTATACCTAACACAAGGTGTGAACCCTGGTTGAGAGTCACTGACCTAGACTGTTATGTGCTTGAATTTGCTCTGTATGGTCCTGTCTTATACTCAAGCTCCTTCAGGCATGGAGCTGTCATTTGGTACGCTTCAGTTATGCAGACCAAAATTGATAGATCTATATAAATAAATGATATAAGGAGCTGGGTACCTGAGAACTTTGTTCTTTTTGTAATGCTACTATTTGGTAATGTACACAATCTCTGGCTATTTTAAATTATGTTAATTTAACATACTAATACTAAGTGCTAATTGTTGCTTTCACATTTGGTCTAATCCAGTTGTCTATAAG